ATTTAAAGATGAGTGAAAGATTACATTTTTTTGGGGGGGGGGGGGAAATATCCCTTTAAAAACCACAAAAAATAAATAAATAAATTATAAATAGATAAAAAATTAATAAAATACATAAAATAAAGATAAATAAAAATATAAAATAAATGCTTTATAAGTTTATAATACAGTAAGTTAATATAAAGTTAATATAATACAAATAAAGTTAATGTGTGCATGTAATTATTAATAATAATAAAACTAATAAATTATTATTAGATTGCGGTCATAAATAGTGCATTGCTCACATGAGTGGTGTAATGACACTCTTGGAGTTGGTGCCCTGGAAGATGCTCGGCCGCTGTTGGAGGACGCCCTCCTGTGATCTCACAGAGGGTGAAGAGGAACGCAGAAAACTACGGCTGCCTGGTCGGCCAGGTTGCTCAGAAACTGCAAAATAAACAGCAACAAATCCTAAGAATATTGTCAGAATACATCAGTTTGTTATAGACCGAGAAGAAAGGACCATTATTGGTGACATAATTTCCTTCGGAGTAGTCTTACCTCCACGCATATATTCTACCGCTGCGCGTTCCCGTTCTCTCTGATCTCTCTCTCGCTCCCGCTCTCTTTCCCTTTCCCTCTCGCGTTCCTTCTCTCTCTGACTCTCTCTCTCCCTCTCCACAATAGCTGCAGTGGCACTGTGATGGGCAGGATGTCCTGTGGGGAGTGAAGAACAGGAAACACACAAAAACAAAAAGTGGGGTTACAACCAAAAAGGCCCTTTACACTTGCTGCACTTTGACAGGGCCAGCTGTGTTGCTGTTAGGAATAGCAGAAAGAGTCATGATAACAGTGATGTGAAATTATTGCACAGTAGGGCTGTGCAATTAATCGCATGCAATTGTCAAGTGCATCTCGTCAGTAAAGCCGGTTCCGTGATTAGTAGTAAATCGCCATCACCTGCTTTCAGATGGAGCAGCATTTAATACACAGAGCCATAGTTCACTGACAAGCTAGGCAATATCACGTTCATAATCGCAGATGAATCGCATTCGATTATGAATGGGATATTGCCTAATTGTCAGTGAGCTACGGCTCTGTGTAGTAAATGCTGCTCCATCTGAAAGCAGGTGATGGAGATTTACTACGAATCACGGAACCGGCTTTACTGACGAGATGTGCATGACAATCGCATACGATTATAATTGCACAGCCCTATTGCACAGATATACAAATGTATATGAATAAACAAGGCATTAATCCATTAACCAAGGCATTCTCTTTAATAGCATGTATTATTACCCCTTTTCCACTGAAATGGTGCTGGTTCCCGTGGGTGGGGGGAATTGCAAAGCTCTCCAAGACAAACAATGACGTAACTAACTATATAAGTACAAAAGCTGCCCACAAACAAACATGCCTAACCTTTGTCTTTGTTTATAAGTATTACAAGAACATCAGTGTATTCACAAGTTATTTTCAGTATTTTATGCAATCACAATCTGCTTTTGTTGCAACAGTCAGAGGTTACAACAAATAAAATTCTAACCAATCAAATGGACACACAATATTTGTAAATAAAATCAATGTGTTACATGCAACACAACATATAATGGGATGTCTATGAACTGTGCATTACTGCATCAGGTATTTCATTGGTTAGAATCAAGCCAACTAGTTTCGTTGCATGCCAGCTTTGCCAGATGGAGAAACCTGAATTGAAAAACTAAGGTGCATTCCATTCAGAAGTTTGGTTCCACTTTAAAACTTTTTATACAAAATTTATGAAATAAATTGTTTTTGTGAAGAGTCATCTAAATGGTGAACACTCAGAAGAGACTATGACTACTCATAATAGACTACTATGTTTTAATTGCATGTAAAAAAGGTTGCGCCTCAATGTACTTTACCATGTTAAAATATGTTTCATTGAACGTTAAAAGAATCCTCATGCTTATTGGCTGCTTCCTCTAAAGGAGCGTAACTTTGTTTGGTGAAGTAAAGAGCAAAAATGAACAATGGACTATGTAGACACTTATTACTATGCTTTACCAGCGGACACAATGGAAGAATCAGTACCTGTAGAGCCAAACAAGCAGAAAAGCTCTAAAGCCAAAAAGACTGACAAAGACAAAAAAATGAGTGTAAACATCGGTACAGCACACACATTGTGAAAATATGGGCATCACTACAAGATTGTCTTTAAAGGGGTCATATGATGCTGCTAAAAAGAACATTATTTTGTGTATTTGGTGTAATGAAATGTGTTTATGCGGTTTAAAGTTCAAAAAACACATTATTTTCCACATACTGTACATTATTGTTTCTCCTCTCTGCCCCGCCTTTTTGAAACGCGTCGATTTTTACTACAGTGAGAATAAAAGTAACGCCTTCTTTCTTTGCGTGAAGATTTGGGCAGCGTTATACAAATCTTCCCAGATCGTGACGTAGGTATGTGGGGGCGTGTTAGAACGAGCCGTTTTAGGTAGGCGTGGTTAACTCTTAACTTTTATAAAGAATATCTCTTTGGTTTTGAGACTTTAGTGTTTGCAACTTTACAGATCTTCTTTATGCACCAAGAGCTTGTAACACTCCAAAGAGAAAGGAAAAATTGAAATCGCATCATATGACCCCTTTAAATCTTAAACCTTAATGTGACATTAAGCTTGCTTGTTTAAGATCAGCAAGAGAGCTGCCATTTTCTGGAAGCGCCAACAAATGTGGTTTGTGCACCAGCACCTTGACGGCTGAAAACGGGTACAAAGCAAAATATCAAATTAAACTTTAATTATTCTTAAAAGACAACAGGTATTTGTATGTATTGTATGCACTCATGTACAAGATTCAAACTGTATGTAAAGACAGCACATGGAATGATGCTAAAAAGATCAGCACAGAACTGGTGTTGTAGTATAACACAGACACAGGAGCCATGAAACAGCTCTAAAAGCATATTCACACAGAGAGCAAATATATCTAGCAATATAATTTTTTTGCGATTCACTTGACATCATAATTCCCCTCTCGTTTGAATAGATGTTTAGACAGTCAAGGTCTACTCACCTTCAGACCACCTGCGCTCCCAAGACAAACTTTAAATATGACACTACTGAGCCAAGGCCAATGTTTGCCTTCACCCCAATATGATGTTTGAGATGCACAAATAAGGCAGCTTCTCAGGGGAGGGCAACAGAGAGGGCTAGGAAAGTACTTACAGAAAATGGGGGTTTTGGCACTTCAGTTGCTTTTTAAATTCTGACTAATATCCTACATGTACATACATCTTAAGCTACAATCTCATGCAGACAGTGATTGATACCAGCAGCTCTCTTCATTCTTTGTAACTGCTAATATGCTCAATCAAATCCCTAAAAACGAATCCCTTATGTGTCACCACATACAGAATTCAGCAGGAAGCCTGCCAAGTCCATAAACTGATCTGAACAGACTGTGCATCTTCTTGATTGATTCATTAAAATAATTATTTGTTTGTGAATTTGACTAAACTAGTGCCGCATGTTCGGTTTCGCTAGTAGCCAGTGAAAACAAAGAATATAAATTTGAGCTCTTCAGAGTCACACTAGATATAAAAAAACAAGACACGAACAAGTTTGGGTCCAACACATTGATGAGTGCCTCAGCCATGGGTTGTGTGTGATATTAGTAGCCTTGGGTTCCAGGCAAATGAATGTCCTGGAGATTAATATTAACATAAATTTCCTTGTCATTTGATGTGTGATTGATAAATGTGAAAGTTTACGAGTGGTTTAATTTTTTGGATTTGTGGAAAAACAATGCACTTTTGTCTAAATAAAGCAACCAAAATTAAATCATAACTGTACATTTTTGTGTTTTTTCTTACACGAAGTATTACAAAGGCTACATTATTTGGCAACATGGGTTCAAATCTTCTAAGTAAACGTTGCGAAGAAGGATTGGAGAAAGAATTTCATCTACAAATAAGGGAAGATGATGGGCCTACTTTTAAACCTACACATGCTGTGGAGTTTCTAATTTGTCGTTTCTGATTTTGGTCTTGGGACATTGCTGATTTTTGCATTCGGCTCCCAAAAAAAAAAAAAAAAGACCACCGGGTTAGTCGGACTCAGGTTAGTCTGTGTCAAGTCAGGTTTTTCTTTTTAAAATAATAAATGATGCACGTCTGGTTCGGGTAGGAAGTGATTTGGGTCAGGTACAGGTTTTAGGACCAAAGAAGACCTAGAATTGTTGTTTTATGAATTATTACACAATAAATCGCCACCATCAATTCAGACTAGCTCATAAATCAGGTGAAATGTATTTCCTTTTGCCACGATGCTGTAGATTTAGTAGCAGCGCATTGCCATCATAGTGGTGCAGAAAACCGTTGTAGTTAGTTTTAGGTGGAAGAAAGAGTCTCGATTAAAACAGCAAAACTGATCTCAGAGCAGCAGCGAAGGGCAAGTTTCTAAAGCACCACCACCAGGACTGGAAGGGGAAGTTCAGGTGTTGGATAGGAGAGGAGGGGTGGGATCCTCACCTGGAGATATGGAGGCAGGGTTGAATGCCCTAGGAGGGAAAGGGGTCTGAGGTCCAGGGATGTAGGTGATGCGTTCCAGGGAGGGGGAAACTGTCCCCCCAGGGTGAGGTAACAGGATGGTAGGTGGCATCTGGGCTAGATCAATTATTCCTTTTACAGACAGAAGCAAAGGGCCAGAGGGTGAGCATCCACAACCAATCAGCATCAACTTTAAAGAGCCAACACCCTCTACTGATCTTCTAAAAACATCTATTGACTAGAAGAGGAATTGAAAAATTTGAAGTAGCTCATTAACAACATCAAGAGCTCAATTACTAAAAATAACAAGATACCAGGGCTGAAAGCTGGTTTCCACTAAGCAATGGGTTTCACTAAGTAAAGCAAAATCAAAACTAGAAAAATGGTGCAATGTGGACTGGAGATGTAGACAGCAGGACCTTCTAAAGGTCTGAGCTCAAACTCCTTCAGATTGAAACTGTAGTATTACTAGGATTTTTTTTTTTTAACCCAGGTCAACTTTTAACAGGTAACCTTGTTCCTGTAGATGCTATTGAACATGCATAACCACAAAATTTGCTTTTTAAAATTGTGGGCCTCTTGACAGATGGGTCTAGTGGATGTCTAGGGAATAGCCCCAGCCCTGGATTTAACAATTGTTTTGAACTCAAAAAATTTCACGTGCAATTAGAATTTGTGTGAGGGTCATTTGCTTCTGATGGTCTGGAAAAGGTTGCCACTAGTTCACACAAACACAATATTTACAGACTACACTTTCGATACTTTCCTTCACTTTCACAAACAAACATACACATTCAGACAATCATGCCCCTTACCTCTAGCTGGTGGGTATGGGATGGCAATGGACGTTTCCCGTGGTGACAGTCCCCTCGCGATATCAGGGCGCATCTGCTGCGAGGTGATGTAATCGTTCAGAATGGTCTGCCGAGTGTTTTCCATGGTGTACAGCTGGTATGTGTTGGGGTAACCGGTCGGCGACTGTTGCCGTGGGAACATGTACGCTGTTGAGATGTACAGAGGACAACAAGGACGAGAGGTGAAAAGACCGCTGTTCTTGTCTTGACGTCAATGGTGCGGATTTGCCACAGTAGTGGAGAGTGGAGCAGAAAATGCTATTATCTAATGCATGAGAGTAGGTTGAAAAACCAAAACATGATGTTTATCAATGAGATAGGAATAGTGCTTTTAAGAGAGGACCATTACTCAGAACATCAATCAATTTTGTGTGTGACGCATGAACTGTTTTCCCTGCAAGCCTGTTTGTAGGAAGCATGGTTTCAGAACAGAACTAATTCATTATTCACAAATTTTCCATTCCTTGGCAAATCGTAGCCCACTACCCATGTGCTCTGAGCCCTATTAAGTAATGTATCAATGGGTCAGATTTACAAAACAACTACTGTTTTTTATTCTTTTCTAATATAGTTAAAAAAACAGACAATTTTCTGTATAGAGACTTTAAACAGAGACTGTTCTATAAGAGAATTTTTTTAAATCAGCAAGAAATATAAATTTATCCTAGCTATTTTGTAAATGCATCTTACTGATCTTATTGTGAATGATTCATCCACAAGTTACATTTTTTACAGGTTCATGTAAACAATGCATGCGCATGGCGCTCCTGCTTACGTAACGCACATGTGTAAGCACGCGCATGTGTTGTTTTCATGAACCGGAAGTATTGGAGAAGTATTGTTGAGTAAAGTCATTATTTTGTTTTCTTTGCGCACAAAAAGTATTCTCATAGCTTCGTAAAATTACGGTTGAACCGCTGATATCACATGGACTATTTTACCAATGTCCTTGCTACGTTTCTGGACCTGGGAACATTGCAGATGTGTTGCTGTCTATGAAGGGTCTGAGAGCTCTTGGATTTAATAAAAAATATCATAATTTGTGTTCCGAAGATGAATGAAGGTCTTACGGGTTTGGAACGACATGAGGGTGAGTAATTAATGACAGAATTTAACATTTTGGGTGAACCAACCCTTTAATGCTGCTCGCAGAAAAAAAAAAAGAAAAGGAAAAAAGTTCTTAAAAAGCTTTGCAGCATCTTAAAAATAGTGCCACATTTGTCTTAAATCCCAAAAGGTAAGACGCTTAATGAATTTTGTGTTATTTCAATATTAAGCATTACAATATATATTACTACTACAATTTTTACAAAATGTAAAATACTTTTATAATCACTTTTTTTCTTTTTTAAAGAACTACATTATTAATCCAAAGAACTATTTGTTCTTAAGGAGATTTTCATGAATCTGGCCCCTGAAAAGATTCCATAATGCCTTAAATTACCTGGGTCGAGGACTCTGTGGTGAAAAGCGAGGCTGGGGTCCAAGTGTGGTGGTAGGTGAGTCCGGTACATCTCTCCAGGTGCCACAGGTCTATGGTGGGGGTCAAACGGGCTGTGAGAAGCAAGAGGTTCACCCCCCAACACAGGTGACTTGGCGGGCACACTGTCCCTCTGGGTGGGAGTCAGTGTGTTCTTCCTCTCATGAGAAGCTGGTTTACCTGTTGTTACACTTCCTGTTTGAGAAAAAAAATCAGTTCAATGACCTGTGCAATTGACTGCTAGATGTAAGCTAAGGATCGGTGTTTAATTGTTATAAGAACAACTGTCTGGGGATGATTGAAAGATTAAACGAGAGATGCCGCATTCATACCGTCTTGCCCTCGCAGCAGAGGTGAACCTCTGGATATGGAGGTGCCGGTGTATGTAGGGGTTCTGCGTGCATTGCTGTCCTCATACATGCCTGGACTGAGCTGAGATATTCCCGCTTCTGTGTGTGTGGAGCGAAGGACAGATGTGGAGTTCACTACAGAGGTGTGCCGGACGCGTTCGGAAGTCTTCGCATCCTCGTACTTGGCCCTCTCGCGCTCAGCTGCCTCAATGACAGAGTGTGAGATCTTCACTGGGCTTGTGATCAGAGATTTAACATTGTGCTTGATGGCTGACGGGTTCACAGTACTGCTCTCGTACTTCAGAGGAATACCCTGCAGAGATGCACATTAAGAAAATTAGGAGAACGATAAACTGTTGTCTTAAGGCATCTTTCATTTGTCTGATCTGAATGTGATTTGTGAATGTTCTTCATAAATACATTTCAGTGTGGGAAACTCTAACAACCTCAAATCAAGTACCTGAGTAATGGATCCTTCCAGAACAGGAGTTTTACGACTGTCTTGAGTCTCCTTACGGGGAATCTCGTGAATTGAGCGGCCCATCTCCTTTATGGTGTTCACCCCCTCATACGGTTTACCCTTTGTGATGCCTCCCTCAAAAGAGCGTATGGGTGGACTTTCCCTCTTGATCTGTTTACCGTACTTGGAGGCCTCATCATAGACTTCAGCAGAGGCTCTTGGTGTTCCTGAAACATGGCAGAGAAGATTAAGCATGATGCAGAAATTTCCATACATTTTCTTAAAAATGAGCAATTATTAAAATTAAAGTAGCATTTATAGTTTTCTTCTCCTGTGGCTCTTTTAGCTGTCAGAAATATTTTGTATTGTATTATTATTTGAAATGATTTGCAATCCTTTATACTAATACATACTAATCAACTAGAGTTGAAAACAACTAGTCTTTATATATTTTTATAAAATAATTACATATTTTCAGAACGGAAGTAAAGAAGTGTGGTGGAAGCATCAGCATTACCGTGCATGATGGATCCTGTGAGTAAGGATCGATCCTTTGACTCGTGAGGACTTTCTCTTGGCAATGCTCTGCTGATCAAACCTGACAGAAAAACAGGAAAAATGTCTTTAAAAGGTGCTCTAGTGACAAACACACTCTCCGCTTTGAATCTTTTGTGCTTTATTCTTCTCAGATAAACAACATAAAAACATGACTAACCTTCATAAGGTGCGGTCTCACGTGTTGGGTGTCCACGGGACCCCTCCATGATGTCATATGAGCGCTTGAGATCGTGCCCCATTCGTGGGCTTCTAGTGCCCTCTCTAGGGTTCTTAATGGCTGTTGGAACATAAAGCGAGATATATTATTGTAATAAAATGAACTAAAAACATCAATAGAGCATGTCAAAAAAAAACTCTTGGTAAGCTCTGGCTATGGCGCTCCATAAAAATAGAAACTGCTCTTGTTGCACTGCTAACAAACATGTCATTTAGCCCTTGAAAAGAAGCACTTCACTATCTGACTCCACTTGTGCCGGGAAATATAGCAGAAACTAATCACACTATAATTTTAGACTTTTGACAATATAAACTATATAAAACATAAAAAGCATATTAAAATAACTCGTCACAAAAACAACTTAAATATTCAATATCCCTGGGGTATACTGTTCTCACAAGTACACCAGAAAGGAAGCGGTTCTGGCTCTGACCATCAAAAGAGAGGATGTGTCCGCTTTTGCCTTCGTAGATAACATGAGGTTTAGAATGAGCATCAGCTCGGCTCTTCTCTGGGCCGCTCAGGTCCTCTGTGGCCAGTTTAGCAATAGTGCCTTTCAACAGATCCGCTGCTACATTGGACTGAGTCAGGGCAGGAGTGCCCTACAAAGACAAAGAGTGAGAGTGGGAAATACTACACAAGTATAAATGAAAATTACTCAAATACTACAGTAAGGCCTATAATAAAGATACCTGCGTAATGGAGCCTCCTCTGAAATTCAAGCCCTCTGGGCCTTTTCCAGGTGGCCCTCTCATGTCTGGAATCTGCATGGGTCCTAATGGGAGCAGAGGAGAGGAAGAAAAACATTGTTTGGTTTGTGTTTGAATGGTAAGACTGTTTACTTTTGTGGATTAATTCTTGATTTTTATTAATTTTATAGTATATTTTAAGTCATCTCACCTCTGACAACTCCCTCATACTGAGCTCTGGATAAGAGACCCTCCGCCTGAGCGCTCTGTCCACGTGGAGAACACTCCTCCTGCTTAATATATGACACTAAACACACACACAAACACAATCAGGTGTTTAGATTACACATTTCATGGACCACATGATGTATTCATCTTCTAAACTTCATAACAAAACTCAGCCACAGAAGCCACGGCTGAGTTTAGTTAAAATGAGCTTAATTGCGGGATTAAGATGTATTTATACTCTCAAATCTCTCTTGCTCACCAGGTTTGGCAGGGTCCTGCTGTCTTGGTAAACCGAGCGAGATCGACCCCCCTGTGGTCTTAACTACCTCCGGTACGTACACAGCATGCGTTTGAGAAGGAAGGTACGTTCCTGGCGTTCCCTGCAGGGAAGACACAAATCAGAGTGAAATACCAGGAAAACCCTTGATCCCTGCCTTGATCCCATTACATGTAGGAAGTATTTAAACTTAGCATAAGCACCAAGAGTCTTAAATAACACTCAACAGCATTTCTCTTACCTGTGAAATGGAGCCTCCCTGAATGAAGGAGGGCTTGTCGGTGGGTTTGGAAGTGGGAATGAGGGGTGGAGGAGACGGAATGTTGGCCGGCCTGTGACGGGAAAACGTCATGCGAACATCTGAAAGATTCTGAACCGCCTGGTTTGGTGCCGGTTGAAGAACTGTGGGAATAAAAGGATAAGAGGCACAAGGGATGAAAAGAGGCAGGCAAATAGGATCACTCTTTATCCTTGCATAGTTGACAAAAGTCTTTCCCTCTAAAGCCCAGAGTATACTATGGTTTTCTATGTGTACGCTAGGGAATGCATATAGTGCTAGTGCCATACATTTCTGTCATCACAGTACATGTACTTAGTACTTTTTTTTCCTATCCCTGCCTGCATACACTGTGCGCTCAGCACCTGTGCCTTGATTTTTTTTGCACTAATTAGTTTGTGCACAAAGCAGCAACACTGGCCCAGCCCAAAGTTTCACAGTAAAAAAAAAAAAAAAAAAATAGGCTTTTTCAAGTTTTAGTGGAAACTGCATACAAAATATTGCTGTGTTTAAGGGCACTTCAGTGGTACTTTAAGGCTTATTATACTACTAAGTAGTTTTGTTCCTGACTTCTGATTGGTCAGTACATTGTTAAAAAGCATGCAAAAATCCACAACACCATCACAGCTATGACATCAGACACTGTATCACTGCAGATCTCTTATATGGTATTGTTATGTTTGTTGCATAGCAAAAATCTGTTATGTCAGTGGCTGTATCTGGAAGGACACCACTTGATGAATTTTCTTAACAGAATAAAAAATACAACCCACTAACACTAATACAAATGTTAAAATCAACAAGTCACTCAAGGCTGTGCTATACTTTGAACTGCATTGAGCATCGTGCCTAACAACGGCCTTTAGTCGTGACTATTCACACTACAGAATGGCATCTCTTCCCTTATTGCTTGAATGTAGACTCCAAGTCTCACTGGTCAGATTCAATGCTCAGTACTTCTGACCTACTACACACAACCTACCAAACTTCTGCAGGACCTACAATTGACCATTCTCAAAACCGACTAGCTTATAAAACCTAGACGACAAAAAAAAACAAAAAACTTTGTCACCGAAATGGAGAGAGCCTCAAACAAAAACCTGTGGCTAAAGCCTGACAAAGAAACACAGACCTGAGTCTAACCTGAAGCTCTTAGTATGGGAGGAATGAAGTCTTCCTTCACTGCTGCTCACCCGTGACTCACAGCCCTACTAAAAACACCTCTTCCATTTTCAGACAGCCCAGCCTCTCACTCATCTCTTTTGAAATATTGAGTCGTGAACTCTCGTCTCCTTCAGTGTAAAAAGCCTAGAGTGTAGAGATGAGATCAGGTGGTCTCTGCGGTTCTTTAGTGCAGGGTGTGATGTTCTCTTAATGTAATCGCTTATCTGTTGTTATGTGTTTCCGGACGATTCTTATGCACAAATAAAAACAATACAGGTCTGACAGTACAGACGTCAGTATAGTTACATTGTTCAAGTATGGTTCAACCTCTCATTCAGAGATGCTATAATGTCTGTATAAAGGCTGGCCACGTGATTTACTGGGGAATGCAGAGGAGAAGTGAAAGATTACTCCTGCTATGCTTTGTCATATTCATTCAAGGTTTTAGTGAATACCAGTGACCTTTTACTATTCTCAAAACCAATTTAATATCACTGCAAAAACAAAAGTTTGGGGTCAGAAAAGCAAAAAAATTAATAATTGTATTAAACAAGGATGCATTAAATTGATCAAAAGTGACAGTAAAGACATTTAAAATGCGGCGCGGGACAAGATGGACAAGTGCTGGTGCGGGCGGGTAGACACTCGTGTGTGTGGGATGTGGGAGAATAAAATGATTCACGGGACTCCTGCAAAATAGAAATATCTAAACATAAAATATCTAAAACAAATAAATTGTTATTTCTTTTAGAGATTATAAATGCAGCGTTCTTTGCTGGCACGCAGCAGCCGCTTGCTTTAGTTAAAAATAACAGTGTTCTGTGAATGTTGATGCTTTAATAACATATTTATCGGGAGCGTGTATGCTGGGATTTCATAAATTTCATGGATAAAAAAGTAACGTAACTAGTAATGTAACTAATTACTAATTACTTTTGAAATAAAGTAATCAGAACAGTAACGTGATTACTTTTAAAAGGAGTAATCAGTAATCAGTAATTTGATTACATTTTCAGAGTAACTTGCCCAACACTGCTGGCGACTCGGTCAGTGTAGAGATGCGCGGATGAGCTCAAACTTCACCCGAGTTCGCTGCTTCAAATAAATTATCCGCCCACACCTATATTTGATCGTCACATTACAATGATTCTAATTCTTAGTTTTGCATGATGATATGATGAATGGATGGTTCATTTTTAACAGCAGATTCAGTGACGTTAGAGCTGATCTGTGCATCACGTCACGCATCTGCAGCGCATTACGGCTCCACGGCCACCGGAGCTGATCGTGGCTATGGATTAAAAGGACAGCTATTTAAAGTCAAGATGAAACAGCATTCACAATCTAGTCACATCACATTTCCTAACTGGGTTTTCTACACCGGACGCGAGCGGCGCAACAAAATACAATAGAACCCATTATAATCAGTGATGTTTTCTACACTGGATGCGGCGTGACATGACAAATCCCTACAGTAAACTGATGACTCATTCCATTTATGACGTACTGATACAAAGTTCAAATGATTTTCAACGGTCGCTTTGTCGCGTCCTGTTGCGAGGCAGACACGGTGTCCGCATAGTTTGTCAGTACAGTCAGTAACGTAGCAGATTGAAAAGTTAGTATATTTCTGCAGTCCAATAGACGGCTGTGCGGTGGTGGCTTGAGTCTGTTGAATGGTGATTTAACGCTACATTGTCACCTAGTTAGAGAGACTCAATGCTAAAGTAAATAAACAACGTCCCCGTCTTTTACTTTCACTATGAGCTTACCATCGTTTGCTCCATTAGTAGGGCCCTGTGATTTCCGCGATGCAGAAAACATGGACGGAATCGTGGAATCCAGTCATAAAAACAGAATTTACGGTATAATGCGGAATTTCATGGAATTCGTCATATTTTTCATGAATAAATAAAAAAACTGGTCAGTACACTTAAATCAAATCGCGATATAGACTAGTGTCTGTGAATATTAAACTGCAAAAAGACTAACGGGAAGTGTGTCCAAACTTTTGACCATACTGTACTATAATATAGCCTACAAATAAAGAATATTGGCCGATATATCGATATCGGTCTTTTTTTACTCCTTAATATCGGTATCGGCATCGGCCCCCAAACAAAACCCATATCGGTCGGACTCTAGTAATAATAATAATAATATTTATTATTATTCCTCAGATTGTTTCCTATTCTACAATACCAAAGTGTGATATCCCTAGTTTGTTCTGAACCTCCAAGTAAGGAAATTCCTTGTAAATCACAGCTGCTGCATCATCAGTAGTGGTCATGTTATTGATGTAGCATGCATGTAGGACACAGAGGGAAATTTTTGTTGACCAGGTCAATAACGCAAACATCATTCCACTCAATCTGGGTCCTCACAGCAGAGGTCACTGAAGACCAAAGTCTCAAGCCAAAGTTCATTATGAAACCTGATCACCATAAAACAAATAAACCTGCAGGAGTGACACAGTCCTACCGGAACATTCCGTTTACTTAATGGATGCTGTATTTTTTTTCTCTCCCTGAGAGAAACATCTAGTGTGTTTTATAAGTGCTTGTCTCCATGAGAACAGTTTCCAGGTTGTAAGGGTAGGGCTGATAAGGGAATCAGTTACATGTGCTGAGCCTCGTGAGAGCTTCAAGGTTTCCTTCAGGAAGAAACTCACTGACCTGACTAGTAAAAGCCATGTAACTTACAAACAAATGTGAGCTCCTCTAAAAGATGGAGAAGCAGAGGGTGGGTCTTAATCAGTTTTCTAGTGACACAAAAACTGTCAGGTTACACGCTCCAGATAAGGTTACTAATGACTGAAATACCAACTCGTGTACTTAATTGTATGCAGGTCTAAATAAACACTGAAGCAAAAACACTTCATAAGGCTTGAAAATGTATGACATCTAAATATACACTGAAGCAAAAACACTTCATAAGGCTTGAAAATGTATGACAAAGTAATTTGATAACAGATTTAACTGCAAAGTTAAAATATTCAGGCCCAAACAAGAAATATTCAAAAGGACTCAATAATTAACTCGAAGGCCATCAATCAGCTCTACATCTACAATGACGTATATGTAGCTTTGTTTGAGACTGCAAAACAAATAAATAAACAAATAAGTAAATACATTTCACTGCAATTTTAGCCATAACATCTTGCCATATATTACAATTATACAGGAGACGTTTTATTTTTTTTAATCCAAAGTGACTTCCAACAATGCATGCTACAAATTTTATTGTTAGAGCCAACAATGTTTGAAGTACACAAGTACAACAGATTAGTACACAATCTAGAGCAGATATAAAATCCAGAAAAGTAGATACAGTTAACTTTATTTATTATTTATTTCTAATTTTGTTTTAAATAAAAAACAACAGATTTGTATTTTTTATTATTTTTATTTATTATTACTAGTTATTTTATATATTATTTATTTATTCAAATAAATGCCTTTGTGAGCATAAAATACAAAAAAAACTTGCTGATTGAGATATAGATAAGATCTTTTCATTAGTAGACCTTTAGTAGTGTTTTCTTTAGTGTCTTTGATTTGAATCGCTCATGTTGCTTACATCAATGAAGACTATAGTTCTTATACTCCATTTTACTCTCATTCGGGTGAGTGCTGCTGAGTGTTCATTTTGGTGCCCAAACCTTCTTGAAAAAAAAAAAAAGCTGCAGGTTTCTAAAACTTTCGCCTGGATACAGGGTGTATAGACTGCTTACCTGGAGGTACACTGTAGCGGGTGGCGTTACTGCCGTCGGGCTGGGGTGAGGCTTTGCTAGGCTCGCGAGGAGAGAGTCTGTACGGAGAACCCGGTCTGCCCGCTCCACCGTGAGATTCCTGCTCCATCAGCTTCAGGTCAAATGGCATGTAAGTGAATGGCTTACCTGGGGCCAGAACAGAGAAAAAAGTCAGTTACTCACAGACACCAAGCAGACAGACAAAAGACACAAAACAGAACGTCAAGTGTCCTCTCTATTTGCAATCAAGAAAACATTGTATTCAAACCATACAGACTCAACATGCATTAATCACGGGAATAGAAGATATAGAAAGGTTAATTCAGTACTATCATTGCAAATGCACTGGTAAGAGAAATGTCAAGGCAGGTTTTTAGAGCTACAGACTGCCGGTCTGTAAGGACGAGGTCAAGCAAAACTTGGTGTTTCTAATGGATATCACTACAAGAGAGTGACCTAATGTTCCTTTTGGTTGGCTGCTTCTGTCTGACTCCATCAAAAACAGCACTGTGTTTCTTAGCTGTGAAGAGCAAAGTCCACTGTCTCTCTCTCCCGTGCTCTCAACACCCTTCAAAAATCTGTTTTGGAGACCCATTATAAAACAGAGGAGGAGGAAAAACCGAAAAACTTCTGTCTTTACTCAAACTTCCTGGCATGTAAAAACTGAACGAGGGTGCATGGGAGGATAGAACAGAGGCACTACAGGCACATCACAATCTATTTGTTTTGCAGCGGTCCATCTGCTTGTCTTTCAGTCTGTTTGTCTCAGGGGAGATTCTGTAATCTCAATTTTGTATTGTTCACTGCTTCTCTTCCCTTCAGAGACAGTTCCTTTGTCAAGGAGTTCTCCCAAACAAAAAGTGACAAATGCTCTATTCGGATGAGATTACTTTTATATCGAGGAAGTTGGGTTGATGTCATAATTACCAAAGCTTCTCTGTAATTTAAACCACTTATTAACTGCCTAAGACATTAAAATTTCTGGACATTATATGAACATATATATAGACTCCTCTATAAAATGAAGAAATACCCAGAAGCAATAAACAAATTCACATGTTGGTTCAATCTATTTTGTTACTGTGAACAATTCATCCATGCATGTGTTTCATCTTTTAACAATTGCTTTGACCTCATAATTTTTATTGAAACATTACTCAATCTTCTGATGAAAACAACTCCTCTCTGGTGGCGAATGCTGGACTTCACCAAACATTTAAACAATCAACTGCAAGCTCACATTCAGATCTGCCTCCATCCAATTAACCGATGGGTAGATCCAAAAAAAGATCTGTCGCCAATTCCACTTCGTCACGACTTTATAAGCCTGTGAATCTACGCGGTCTGAGAATCTCAAGTGGATATTGACCAAAGGGACATTTCTTCACAACCCTCTACGGACACCTTGGCAATTGAATCGCCATTGGCTAGTATATATTTTTTTGTTTACTCGCCAGACTGAAATAATATATATATATATATATATATATATATACTGTATATATAAAACTTATGCCATTTTACAAACATAATGTTTGTAAAATGGTACAGCTTTTTAAATATCTGAAAGTACACTCTTAATATCAGTCAGCCAAGCAGTCAAGCATTATAATATGATAATCAAGAATAATTTAATAATAGAAGTTTAGTAATTAGAACTAAAACTTGGTAACCATGAACTTAGGACTGGTGCTGGTGCTTTTTTTGGTCATTCAGTGTTCCTGTAAAAAAAAAAAACAACAATAATACTGATAAGATATTATTATTATTATTATACGAATTCTACTAATAAGAACAATATAAAAACGCACTAAGGATTAATGAGCTACTGGATTCATGAATATTAATCAGGTTGTGCGCCGTTCGCTCGAACTGATTCGCTGAAATCAAAACAGGGACGATAATAGGTGAGCACCAGCCAATGAAATTGTCGTTTGCGCATTAGTTCCGCCTACTACAGGAAAACCCGGCAGTTCTTAAAAGCTGAAGAATTCCAAAAGAACTCCATTATTTTGACAGGAAAATACAACAAAGAATATC